TTTTGGCACATCTGCTGCTGTGTTACCTTGGGCAAGGTACTGATCTCCTTGGCTTTATATTCCTCATCTGTAAAATGGGGATAATAATAATTCCTATCGTGAGGTCTTGGTAAGCACTAAATGAAACAATTCAATTAAAATGTGCTTTTCACAGTGCCTGGCACATATTAAGTCTTTAATTATCAGCAGTCACATCTGTGAGTGAGAAGTTAAGCTGATGTGTTGGATTGTGGCATACACGATATTTCTTGACTTTGAAGGCTTAGAAAGAGAGGACCTTCTGTACGAAAGAACAATTTCAGAAACCCATTCTCATTCTAGCCTTAGCGACTGAAAGAAAAGCATTCCCCTCACTCAGGGGTATTTGCCCCTTTTCCAAAGGCCCTGCTTACCCTCAAAGATATGAAGTGCTGACAGATAAAGTAGGAAGGTATTAGAGAGGGGAGAAGAGAGAAAGGAAGGAGAAGAGAGGGGGAAGGAAGGGAAGGGGACTTCTCAGGAACTCCTCATGTTAGACCTGGTCAGTAGCTATCAGGAAAGCACCTAATTACTAATAATCATGATCTGAGCAAAGGTAGAAGTTTCATATTAAGTTCACACAGAGCTATAGTCCTGTTGGTGCATCTCAATAGATTTTTAGATTTAGAGCAACTTCTCTTAGAACTGGAGCTTGCTTAATCAAACCTCATTTAATGGAAGGGGTAAAAGGTTCAGAAAGTTTTAAGTGAATATTTAAGGTCACACCACTACCAAGTCTTTCTTTTCTTCCTCTTTTATTTAATCAGGAGCATTTTCCCAAATCTTCAGATTCGTCTTGTGGTACACTAGGACCCCCAGATAGATCTCTTTGTTCCGGTCATCCTAATGTTACAGGAAATTTCATAAACTTTTCACATACCCACAATTCCCAAGTTTCCTTTGTCCCCTAAGTTTCATTTCTATAATACCTGCTCTGGTTTTAAGGGTCTAGCACAAAGTTAGGTGTGTAGTAGATATTTGATACACAATCAATTAGATGGCTATTTGAGTCTTATTAGCACATGTTTTCTAAAATGTCTTGGCAAATGTGTACAGGGGACAGTCCATGCTGAGTATCATCAGGATCCCAGTGAAGAGGAGTGCCCAAGGATGCTTGCCAAGTGGGGAACCTTGCACAGCACAGCATCTAGGCCTTACTTGTTTTGTCTCTCTCCATCCTCAATGCTTTCAAAGTTGGAGCAAAGCCAGCTCTTTCAGGAAGACAGCCTTGTTGTTTACAATATGGGAACCAAGAAAGGTACGGATGTGGCCTCATAGGTTTCTGTTGGGCAATACAATTTCTTCCCACGTCGGAAGTGACTGGATTTCTTCAGAGTCACCTCCCACTTACTTTCTATATCTTACTTCTCCTGCCCCATTGATTTGAACCTGGCTAAAATAAGGGGGTGCTAACTGTACAAAGCAGCGGTTCTCAACCTGTGGGTCGCAACCCCTTTGGGGGACGAACTAAGACCATCGGAAAACAAATTTGTTAAATATTGTTAAATCTAGGGAAAACAAAACTTGTACAAAGAAAAGAAATGTAAACTTTGTACCCAACTGTAAATAATTTTTTACGTAATCATTATAACAAAAACACTGAATGTTGATTTAACCAAAAAATGTGGTATCTGTGTCCTGGGAGAATGAGGCCGTGGCAGTATTGGTGTGCGCTGAACAGGGGTAAAAGCAGGAGAGAGTCTGAAGAGTGTTAGATCCTCAGAAGCCAACATAGGAAGTAAATAGATGATATCTAAAATGGTGGGGGCGGGGGGGATCAAAAGCTAGCAAAATAAGCATAATATTTAGAAATATGCAGACCACTATTAGATGACACAGCTATGAGAGTTGAAAGTTGTTACCTTTTCCTGTAGAAAGCAGGTCAGAAGGGCTGCTGCTGGTTTTCATTATAAGTTATTTTTATAAAACTAAACAATTTACATGAAATACTTTTATTTAAAAAAACCTAATTTTAGAAAATCCAAGTTAACATATTCTGTTTATTTTTTGTTTATTTTTTAAATTCTGTAATCCATTGCTAACCTCAAGGTTGGAAGAAGGTTACTAGGAGTTTAAAAAACAGAATACCAGGATAAATAAAAGCAATGGTGCTGAGAGCTCAGCTGTTAGCCACTTGTAGCTTTCTGGGTCAAACCCAGAGATCTTTGACCCCTCCAAACTCGTGTGTGGAGACAGCAAAAGGCCATACTCCATCATGATTTCTTTTTTTTTTCAAAGATTTTTATTGGGGTATTGGGGGGAAGGGAACAGTGCTGGGGAATTGGGGGAAGGGGAACAGACAAGTTACTGTCATTTTGTTCTTCAGTCTAGTTGTGGAGGACGTTGCTTCACTGGCCTAAGTTGGCACCATCATTGCGCTCTTCCTGGGTGAGGCAGATCAGTCGCCGGCTTCTGGACGGCCGCTCACGCTGGCTGCTGGCTACACACGATAGNTGGCTACACACGATAGTCCATGGCAACCCACTGCCACAGGGGCTGCAGCCTACGCCGTCGCCGGCGACTCACGGCAACCCAGCTCCAGGTTGAGCTGTTGTTCAGCATCTTAGCTATGGAGGGCAGTGTCACTGGCCCTCATATGTGGGATCTGAACCAGGGCCCTCTGGCTTCCCAAGCCAGTTCTTAACCATTGCGCCACTCGGCCGGCCCTCCATCATGATTTCTTGGTTAGTGGTTATCTCTGGGAAGACCCTTAGACCAATTTCATATGCACCCATGGGACTTTTCAGACTCTGTAAGGCCCTAATTAAAATGCAAGCTGCTGGGAAAGAGATCTTAAATCTTTATGGAGTAAAATCCAGATTATTAATTAATATTTTTGCTGGAACTGAGTATAAGAATGGGCCACTAGACAGGGTGGCAAGAAATGATGAGGGGGCTGTGGTTAGTCAGAAGGGAGTTAGTATACAGGAAAATTGTTTATTTCAACAAAATTACTTGTACACTGGAACATTTTAACCAAGCTTACAAAACAAATTGTCAATTTTTTAAATTAGAAAGCATTGTACAGAATATATATTCACATCCTAACCCCTGTCCTCAACCCTACCCTTGATGTTCACCCCACCTCTAACCCCAATCCTGTCTGTCTGACAGTGGGACAGAAGTGTAATGGCCGCCATAATGAGAAGGTATCTTAAGGCCAAAAAACGATGCAGGGAACTCCATAGACTGTAACAGAATTTATTATAGGGTAATTTACTTAGAGGGATGTAGGGTTGGAGCAGACAGATGACCCAGCAATCTGCACAGATTATTCTCCACTGATAAACATCTCTTACAGCACATTTTTTTTTAGTATAACTCAGGTACTAATGATTGACAAGACAAAGGAACAAAGAATGCAGTACTCACCAGCGGCCATACCTTCTGGTGGTCTTGTGATACATGATTGCTTACCGTCGATTCTATCACCACTTTAATATTTATCTCAGTTGTCATGACAGTCCAGCCCTTACTAACAAAAATATTTATGGCTACACTGTGTAACTTTAAGGAACACAGATAACCATGCTTGCTAAAGAGAGTAAAGTTGGTTAAAGGTCACAGCATGAAAACTTAAAGATGGAAGAAATCCAGGACACAGAGATGGAGCTAGTTTTGCTCATATCTACATCTATACACTGTCCCTAACTCTCTGCCACCTCTGACCCCCTACTCATCTCCTAAGATCCCTGCTCTCAGCCCCATCCTGGACATTCAGCTCCTCCCTGAAGTGAACCCTCTCCCTGACCTTGACCAGATACCTAATCCTTACCCTATCTAGTGATTAAAATACCAGTCTTTGATATTTTAATACACCGTGTTGTTTCAGTACTAACATCCTGGCATTTTTACAGATCCAAAACCCAAATCATTTATGTCTTGAACTATAACCAGAGAATTAGACACTGTATTAAAATGTCTAATCAAATAATGGTGCACTTTGTTTGAAGAAAGTACTGACTCCACCCCTCTCCTGATTAAAACGCTTCCAGGGCCGGCAGAGTGGCTCAGTTGGTTAAGAGCCTGAGCTCTGAGCAACAGTCACCAGTTCGATTCCCACATGGGCCAGTGAGCTGCACCCCAGCAGAGCTGCCGCTGAGCTGCTAACAGGTGGCAGGATGGCTCAGCTGGTGAGAGCACGTGCTCCTAACAAGATTGCGGGTTCGATTCCTGTATGGGAAGGTGGGCTACGCCCACCCGCAACTAAGATTGAACATGGCACCTTGAGTTGAGCGGCCCCAAGCTGCGGACGGGCTGCTGGATGGCGATTGGACTTGGAGCTGAGCTAGCTGTGCCCTCCACAACTAAGATTGAAGGACAACAACTTGGCTGTTCCCCTTCCCCAACTCCCAACACTGTTCCCCTTCCCCAATTCCCCAATAAAATCTTTTTAACATTTTTTAAAAATAATAATAAAGGGCCGGCCGAGTGGTGCAATGGTTAAGAACTGGCTTGGGATGCCAGAGGGCCCCGGTTTGGATCCCACATATGAGGGCCAGTGACACTGCCCTCTGCAGCTAAGATGCTGAACAACAGCTCAACCTGTAGCTGGGCTGCCGTGAGTCGCCGGCAACGGTGTAGGCTGCAGTCCCTGTGGCAGTGGGTTGCCATGGGCTACCGTGTGTAGCCAGCAGCCAGCGTGAGCGGCCAGCAGCCGCAGTGAGCGGCCGTCCAGAAGCCAGTGACTGATCTGCCTCTCCAGGGAAGAGCGCAATGATGGTGCCAACTTGGGCCAGTGAAGCAACGTCCTCCACAACTAGACTGAAGAACAAAACGACAGCAACTTGTCTGTTCCCCTTCCCCCAATTCCCCAGCACTGTTCCCATCCCCCCAACTCCCCAATAAAATAAAATTTAAAAAATTAAAAAAAGAAATCTTTAAAAAAAAAAAGCAAAAGACTGAACCAGAAGACCTCTTCAACTCCAGCTGAACTTAAAAAATATATAATAATAATAATAATAATAATAATAATAATAATAATAATAATATAATACTTCCAAGTTCTTTTATCACTGTTTGATTCTCACTTCCCAGGTTACTAAGATGGTCAGGCATCTTTTCGGCTGTGTATTGGTCACTTGTATTTCCCCAGACCCAATACGGATCTTACTTAACTTACTGAAGCCCCTCATGGAGTTGTCTTTGGGACAGCATAGGATGCAGGAAGATGGGCATTGAGGGATATGGTAGGAGAGGTGGGGAGGGGATTAGGGGAGAAGGGAAGAAAGTGATGTTCCCAGGTCCAGTTCCCAGCCTTCCTCCCTGGATTCTTTCTACATTCTTCCGTCATCTCTCCTTAATCAGATACATCTCTTAGGGCTTGAGCCCCTAATTCCTGCCTCACCAACCTATTTGGAGAGTCTCAAGATACATAGAAAGAGGCACCTCCATCCTGGCCCCTGGGAATGCATCTTAGACAATGGTCCAGAGAGGATGGTAGCCCTACCAGTAATAACTTTTTGTCCCAGTCACTAGCTGGACTAAATAGCAGTGGCTGCTATTACAGCCACTAACCCATCCCAATCATTCACTCTATTTCTGGCACTCATCCCTGAGACTCACCACTCCCCCACATTGATCCTTTTCCTAAGTTCCCCCCTGTATCTGGCCCTAACCCCATCTTGAACCTCCCTGCATCTCACTCACCCATTGCCAGCCTCTTCCTATTTCTAGATGTCTCCCTATTCCTGACAGTACTCGTTCTCTGACCTTCCGCCTTATCCCAAGCTGCTATTCTATCCCTGACTCCCGCTCTACCACATCTCCGACTCCAACCTCAACCCCTGCTCCCAATCCCAAACTTGATCTAAACCCCATTCCTGAACCTTACTCCACTTCCAAACACAAACCAAATGAAGCTTTTCCCTTATGTTTTCTTCTAAGAGTTTTATAGTTTTAACTGTTGTGTTTAGGTCTTCAATCCATGTTGAGTTAATTTTTGTATATGGTATGAGGTATGTGGGTTTCTGGTTTTCTCAGCACCATTTGTTGAAAGTCTATCCTTTCCCCACTGAATAGCCTTAACACCCTTCTTGAAAAGCATTTGACCATTTATGCTTAGGTTATTTCTGGGCCCTTCAATCTCAGGTTCTTTTTATCCTTTGGCTCCATCAGCCTAAGCGTACTAGGCTTTTTCCCTTGTTGTCACAACATTCTTGCCTCAGCACCACATATCGTATCCTATAGCCACATTTAAAGGCAAGAGCCAAGAATGCATGGGTGGGTGTCTCTCTCTTTATTAATCAGGAATATTCCCAGGAGTCCTCTGGCCCTGGCAGACTCCTCTTAAGCAATGGTGTGCTGAACCAGTTTGTACCAGCCTGTGAAAGCAGATGATTACATTTTGTAGAATTTTGTAAGCTGGTTGCTAAACACCATCACCCTTGAAATTGCCATGGTGGGAGCATTTATACCATGGAACTTGGTGAATGCTACAAATCAGGACTTTTTTCTATAGGAGAGTGGTTTATCAGCACATTCTTGCCCAAAAATTGTACTAGTCAGAACCAACTGGTATGGCCACCCTAGCTTAAGGAAATCTTAGAAAGTGAGCATCTGTCATCTTCGGCCTGTGTCAAGGGAAGTAGGCTTTGCTAGCAGGCAAAGGGAGAGTTGGGGAAGCAACTGTGGTGTTTGCCACTAATGGCTTTCAATGCTGGGAGCTATTTGTAGTTACTTAAAGGCTGTCTTTGAAATGTCACAGAAGACAATGCTATGGGCTCAATGGAAGAATGGACAGAGCTTTCACAGTGACATAGTAATTACAGTAAGAGGCGGGGTGCCAGGGCAGGCTTTCTAAACTATACAATGAGGGCCTGGTAAGGATGTGGCCCAGCAACTTCCTGTAACCTCAATGGAGGGCCTCCTTGACACAGATGAGAGACTATGAACAGCCAGTGGACACAAGGCTTGAGTGCTGATGAGAAGGGAGGATCCCTGAGGGGCTGAAACAGGAGCAGGGGTCCTAGAGGGTAGTAGAAGTATTCCATGAAGAAGAGCGAACAAAGGAAGGCCTGCCTTCCTTGGCCAAGTAGTCCTTGCTGACTAGGCCATGGATGGCCATGATCTTGAGGAGTCTGTGGCGAAATTTCTGGCCAACGAAGGCATAGATGAGGGGATTGAGGCAGCTGTGCAAGAAGCCCAGAATCTCGGTGGCATTCAGGGCCTGGCCAATCTCAGTTCGGCGCTCACAGGTCTCCGCGATCACCCCCATCCTCATGAGGGTATCTGACACCAGGACCAGGTTGAAGGGCAGCCAGCAGAGCAGGAAGACGAGCACGACAGCAAAGATGACCCGCATGGCCCGGTGCTTCTGCCCCATGTGGGCCTGAAACAGCGTGCGCAGTGTGAGTCCATAGCAGAACAGCATGATTAGCAGCGGCAGGAGGAAGCCGAAGGTCTGAGGCAGGACTCGCATCACCACACGCCATTTTGTTGTATTGGCACCCATGTCCTCATAGCAGACTGGGCTGGAATTATATGGGTAGACGGTCTTGCGGAAGACAAAGGTGGGCAGGGCTAGGATCAACGATAGGGCCCAGATGCCTATGCATATGAACTTGACCCAGTGCCTCTTCTGAGTCAGTGTGCGTGTGGCGTGGACAATGGCCAGGTAGCGGTCCACACTGATACAGGCCAGTAGTAGAATACCACTGTAGAAATTGATTTCCTTCAGGAGTGAGACCATCTTGCACAGGAGTGTGCCAAAGATCCAGCCCTTTGCCTTGGAGGCAGCCCAGATAGGCAAAGTCAGGGTGAAGAGCAGGTCGGCCATGGTCAGGTTCAGCAGATAGACGTCAGTGACAGAGCGGCTGACTTGACTGTATAAGATAACCAGCATCACCAGGGAGTTTCCCAGCAGGCTCAGCAGGAAAACCAAGGCATAGATGATGACCACAGCATACTTGTTGAGTGTATCAGTGTCCAATTGACAGGGGCTATATTTTTCTGTGGGTGGTGTACCAGTCCAATTTTCAAACTCATCATATAGCCACAAATCAGTATAATTCCATATATTTTCCACAAAGATAGTCATGGTTTGATCTAGTTGAAAGATTAAGATAGAAATGTGATTTAATAATTCAGATTCAACTCACTCTCATCAAGGATGTGAAAAGAATTACTGGGATACCTTTTGCTTTTCTGTTGGTTTAGCAACTGGGGATCCCTTCCTTCACCTCCATCTTGGACATTTTTAGAGGTTGTCTTTATCTGGAAGTGTTGTTAACCTTCCACAACTTCAAGGCCTGGCTTCAGTATGGGATATACGAACTACAGTGAAAAGATGTTGGCCAATGGATGGCCCTATAACTGCTTCAACTCTACCTACAATTCCACTTCTGTCCTCTCATTAGCTTTCTCCATCGTTAGCCATGTCTGTGCATTCAGATGGGGGGACCAAGTTGGTCTTGTACATTCAGGGGAAGCCTACGTTAAGCAAAATGGAAGGAAGCAAACCTATCCCAAGATGTCCCTTTCTATGTTATTTCCCCTCCTATGTTCTTTCTGATTCTGTTTAACCTTCTTAAAATCTACCGAGGGAAGGAAATTATAACAATGAATTGCATTAAAGTGTATTTTAAGCCTTCTCTCTAAAGAAGCAATAAATGTTTTGGTCCACTGTCTAAAGGAAGTGTAAGTTTTTGAGAGAAGTTCCCATCTTGGTCCCTGAAATCACCTTCTAAATATCCACAGAACCATTCAGCAGTTTTCAACTATCCTTTTAAATTGTGAAACACTTTGTTGAAGCAAATTCTTGCCCAATACGTAAAACAGATAAAGGCTCATCTGCTGGGGAGGGAAGGTGTGCTGCTCCCTCTACCCAGACAGCTACTAAGGAGGTTTCCCCCAAATCCCCAGGACTGGCCAGAGTACAATCTGGAAACCTTTGGAAAGTTACCAAGACTGGAAATACGGATTCCTTGTATCCAGTCCTGATTCTATCATTAATAAGTTGTGTGGTCTTGAGAGGGTCCTTTTACTTCTATATATTTCAGTTTTCTCATCTGCAAATTGAGGGACGCAGAGTAGATAACCCCTGAGTTGCTTCCAGGCCTGAGGTTCTGTAATAAGTTCATTCAGATCCACACATTTTAATTATGTTCTCTCCCTGCCAGTATTGCATTTTCACAGAAGACAAAGCTTTAGGGCAAAGCAATAAACATCAAATTGGGGAGAAATAAGCCTCTTCCTTGCAAAAGGGAGAGGTGTGAAAGGACGAAGTAAGAGGCTGAGTCCTCCTTGTCACCAGCTACAGATAGCCATGTATGAGGTCGGAATTGAATACCTGGTCACAAGAGAGGAGGCAGGAAGCCAACAGAGCAGAAATCTTCAGGTCCTAGAGAAATGAATGCATTTTCTAAAATACAGTCAAACCAAGTCTCCCTACCCCAAAGGAAGTACTGGCCAACCAGAGGTTGTTTCCTACCTGAGGCACCAGCCAGGTGTGTCCAACTGTAAGAGCCTGGAGCTCAGAGATGATAATGGCTTAACAGTGAGAAGGAACTTGTCGAATAAAGAGAAGTAGGGAAGCCACGTCACAGCCTCCTCTTTGAGCCCTGCCCATGTCTACATTTGGAGAACAGATGAAGTCAAGAGATCTCAGCCCTGTCACGGGCTCTCAGAATCCAAATGTCCAAACAGGGGTCTCAGACATGAAGATGGTGACTATTTTTATTTTCTTCCTTTTCTTGTATTTATTTCCATTTGTCTATCTCTTAAATTCCCTAGTAGACCACCTTGGCAAGCTCCCAACTTTTCTGACATGAATAACGGGGAAAGCATTTGGCTTTTAACAGTAGAGATTTCAGAAGGAGTCCATTGGAGGAAGGCTTTGCTGGAGTCGTCCACTTAGGAGAAAATTGGGGGACAATTCAGTGGAAAGGAGGTGGAGGACTGTACTTAAGCTGTGTTAGCACAAAAAGCACACAACTTTTACTTATATTATAGGCTTCTTTGGGGTGGCTGGGGCTGGTGGAGATGTGGAGGGAGAATTAACCTCCCTCCCCCACCAGCTGCTCCTTTGCACAACCGCTGCCAACAAGTGGTTGATGAGAATGGCCCTGAGGCTGGGGGCATGGGCCACCTGGAGTCTGCCCGGACAACAAGGGAACGATTGGAGCTGGAGCGATTAGCAAATGAGGGAGGTGGGGCTCATGTCATTCTGTTCCTCTCTCAGTATGGAAGGATGGATTCCCAGGAAACCTGCCTCAGCTGCCCCCAGCAGCTAATGGCTGCCCCCTGGCTTTAACCCTTCGATACTTGAATTGCTTTTTCATTATAACAGGAACCCCACTCTACTGCAATGATGTGTTTACATCAGCTTTCCCCACAGTCTGTGGACTGTTAGAGAGCAGGGACCCTATCCAAATCATCTTCGGATCCTCTGCCAGGAAACAGGGTAAGTGCTCAATCTATGGTTGTGCAGTAAATGACACTTGGACATATCTCCTATGATTCATGGATCGTGGATCACCACCATGATTCAGAGTGTGTGTCACTACAGACACAAGGTGTGCTGAACGCATCGCTTCCATACAGCCAGGCAAGTCGGTCTGGCATTGTTCTTTCCCAGCCGTTGTGCATTGTTTAAAGTTAGCGCCAATCTGTTCAAGTGTAAATTATGCCCCTTCCATAAATGCCAAATGTATCATGCCACTGGTACCTACAATTCTGCCCCTAGGAAGCATATTTTTTAAGCTAAGTCATGCTTTCCTCTTGGGTTCTCTTATCATTTATAAATAGTAGCAGGAAGTGTAGGAGGCCATTGCCTGGGGCTACCCATGCTTTGTTTTTACTGCTGTTGGACAATTGTTATCTGATGCTTAAACTAGAAGGGACTTGAAGATGGGGGAAGTCCCTGAAGGGAGTGTGAACATCCCCCATATGAATCATCTAGGGAAAAGTAGCTCCTGGGGCAGAAAATAGTGGGGACACAGGAGAAAACAGACTGTATGGGGCCTGGACTGCAAAACGCCTGCATGTACTGAAGTGCTTGCAAGCTGAGGCCACAGGGAAAGAGAATGTTTGCCACAAGGGGGCAGCAGTCACCAGATGGGGCGCTCTTGCAAGGGACCAGGGCGGGAGCAGCCATATCTAGTATCTATTTTTAAGCTCCTCTTGTGTATAATTCTCTTCTGCTCTTCCTAAGCCCTCAGTCAAGTCGGTTCAGCATTCCAGTTTATTTAGACTAATGACTGAAGAATTAGGGAAGGGTATGGTCCATCTTCAAGCCTGAGGAGTAAATGGGGAAGCAACCCTTACGGAGAAGCATAGAGGTGGCAACTGTGGTAGGTTAGGTCTCTGGTGGGAAACCTATCTGGAGGTCAAGAGTTGAAAAGAATCTTTCCCTTCATGGTAGGAAAGAGCATTTTCACTGAGTGGGGGAAAGGCACATATACATGAGCATGGAATAAATGTTTACCCACTTAAAAATGTTCCAGCAAGTCTGCCCACCAACATATCTTCCATACTTCACTTCCCACTTACAACTGCTTCCTCATAATGTTTCAATGGGAAAGCATTGTTTTCATTCTGTGCAGAACATCCAGTGCCACAAATATTGTTGTGACATGTGCAGCCTGAATGCCAATCTGCTGGCAAAATGCAGAGGCTTCTTCTTGCCACTCTGTTTTAAAAATGGCAGCTTCTATGCAGCACCATGTGAACGGCACAATACGGCTGTAAGTATATCTATTTTGTCCCTGTGTCAGCTTTGATGCCTGCATCAGCATCTCCTCACATGCCAGCAGAAGAATCCACTTAAACCTGGGGGCAAGGGAGAGGGAAGAGAGGATTCACTTCACCCCTCTCCCCGGGGATCATCCCCATTGCCACAGTGACAGATTCAAGGGCAAGTATGTGGCCTAAGGTGATCCACTCAGAGGCAAGTTCAGGATGGTTATTTGATGACAACGGAAAAGCAACTATGTAGCCTTGTGGCTGCTGGACTCCATAAAAGGCAAACCAATCCAAGGACAAAAACTAACACACCGGACGGAGAAGGAGAGCTGCGAGAAGCACAGAGAAACGGAGCCAGAGTCCTGAACAAATCATGCTCAGAGGTCATCTTCTGTCTGTACTTTTCAGTTATATGAGTCAATAAATTCTCTTTATTGTTAAGACCTATTCAAACAGAGTGTTTTATTACCCACAACCAAAACTATGCCCAAGTAAGAGAGTTCTAGAAACCAAAAGTGACCTAGGATGAGGGAAGAGGAGAGGAATGTCAATGTGTCACAAGGTCCAGGCTGTGACGGTCAGGATAAGAGCTGGACCTAACAGAGGTACGACCTGGGCAGGTGCAGACCTCCTAGCCCTGATTGCCAAGCTCTGGCAGAAGCCAGAAAGGAACTTTGAAAGGTGAGCACATTAGAGCCCATCTCAGGGCATCTGCTGAATGAATTCAGAAATCCTCATGAAGGACCCAGAAATTTCTGCTTTGGAGCCAGGCAGACCATGATGTGGACAGGGCCCTCCTTTACTAGTTTATGATCTTGGACGAGTTTGTTATCATATATCATAATATCCTAGCCATATAAATAGGGATAATAAAACTTGCCTCACGGAGCTGTTGTGATAATGAAATGGGATAAGAGCATGGGTTCTAGAACCAAACCACCTTCGTGCAAATTCCAGCTCTGTCCCTAGCCAGTTGTGTGCCCATGGGAAGCTTAGAGACTCTCCCTGGGCCTCGGTTTTCTCATCTGTAACATGAGAATGAAAGTAGCACCTAGCTCATAGGATTGGTATAAGGATGAATTAATTAATACACGTAAAGTGCTTAGCACAGTGTCTCACAGATAATAAATGTTCAATCACTTTTAGCTGTCTTTATACACAACCCATGGATGTGTTAAAGGAATATGTACCAAACATGCTAAACAATGCAGACCCTGACCCTGAAATCCCACTTAATGTGAGGGAAGGAAACAACATAGGAAGGAAGGAAGAGAGGAAGGACAGTTAATCACAGGATTGTTTATAACAGTAAAATTGGTAATAATTTCAGTGTCTTTCAAAAAACTTCTATACAAATTATAGTAGATCTAGAAAATGGAACACTATGCTTCTATTTTGATCACTGTATCCTAAGTGCCTAGGAGGCATCTTAGCAATTAGGGTGCAATAAACAGTTGTTGAAGAAAGCAAAAAAAGATGGATTATATTTCTAGAGATTGAGAGACCCACAAGTGACTTGCCTTCTGTTTATCTTCCCTCTGGTCTCTGGGAAATAACACTGGAGGGAAAGTTGACTACTATGGCTGTAAGAAATAACTTAGTGAAACATGAGCCTCCCCCCCCGCACCACCACCACCACCTCTTCTGCTACAAGTCAAGTATACACCTGAGATCAAGCCAAGGAGGAAAAATACAATGTACTCCTGGTAGCCAGGAGCTGTTGTTGTAAGATCAGTCCAGGAGGGGGCAGCATTATCTTCAAATCGAACCAAACAACTGGAGAAGGGCAGTGAAATAATCAGGTGAAAAGACCCTCTACTCCATAGAAGTTGGGTTAGGCGGTCAATATCTAGCACCTAACACCACATTTTAAGGTTTGCAAACATTTACCATTGTCCGCTTAAACTCCTTCCAGATTACAGTTTAGCAAGCGCCAGAGTGTGAGTGTAGTTTGAGATGAGCAGTCAACCACCCATGTGTCACTAAACTAGTCACTGGCTTCAAGCACTTAATAGTCCCGTCATGCCCCTTTTCCAGCTCGCAGATTCTTCCTTCAGACCAATGTGAACACACTTTCAAACAGCACATTCAGATACTCTCAGCAAAGCAGTTAAAAGGTATATTTCAAGGAACTGAAAATCTTTTCCGTTTTCTTATAGCACATTTTTTTGGTCCTCCATCACTTAGGCAGCTTGGGCTGCCATCACAAAATACCACGGACTTGGTAACTTAAACAACAGATCAATTTCTCGCAGTTCTGGAGGCTGAAAGTCTGAGATCAGGGGGCCGCCAAGCCCTTGTAGTGAGGGCTCTCTTCCTGGCTTGCAGACAGCTGCCTTCTGTGCAGCCATGTCCTCACATGATCTAAAGACACTAATATCATCAAGGGGTCCCACCTCATGACTTCACCTTAATCTAATTGCCTCCCAAAGGCCCCACCTCTAAATACCATGACACTGGGGGTTAGGGCTTCAACATATGAATTTTGAGGAGACACAAGCATTCAGTTCATAAAAGCACCACATCACAGTTTAAGTAGAATGATTTCATTCCTCTCTTACACATTCATGAAGCAAGGTTCTATCAAGTTCTAACAAATTTCTATCTGTTTTTAATGCAGGCTTGCTTATTTTCTTACATGCAGCCAAATGCACTGAGCTCTACTTTATGTGGCCCAGCCAGCAACCAACGTAATCAGCATTCTGTCTGACAGATATGGCTGCCAAAGTAGCATGCAATAAAGATGGCTGCAGTAAAATAAACTGTACAAATGGGTATCTGGGGGCAGAGGGGGTGAAGATGTGAACTGGGCAG